CCAAGGCTGGGCACGGCGGAGGAGGCGAGGGTGCAGGAGGGGGTGGTGGTGGAGTCGGGTCGTCTGGTGCTGGAGCGGACGAGGGGACCCTGCCCAGTCCAGCTGAGCTGCCGCCTCCGCAGTTGCAGCAGCAACAGCAGCAGCCGCAGCAGTCGCAGCAGCCGCAGCCTACGCAGCAGCCGTAGCAGCCGCCGCAGACGAGGCAGGCGAGTGTCCTCCTGCCCGGGTGGCCTGGCGCTGGAGGTGGTCGGGCGCGTGGTGGTGTGCCGAGTGGTGGTTCGGGAGGCGTGCGTTGTCAGTACCAGATCCAGACCGGTCCTCGCCGCGGCTTCGTTTGCGGTAAGCTCGGTCATACCACTCTCCGCTGTTTTCGTCGCCTGGAAGACCTGTTTCGTCAGCGCTTCGGCCCGTCGCCAGACCTTCCGGACTGGCATAGTTTGCTTAGTCGTAGGATTCAGATTTTTGACATGGACATGGATGCCATTGTTTCTGCTCTGCATGTGATGTATGCTGATGACTCTAGTGCGCTTCCCGCTTATAACCCACTGTAGTCTAGTGTAGGTGTGCCTAGCTTAGCCTCCCCTGCTGCGTCAGGCGTAGGATCCCCCGCTTTGTTTAGCCTTGGTGCTTCCGCCATCGCCCTGTCGCTTCGCTTTCCTTCACCTTGGACTCTGGCGCTTCCCGGTGCTTCTTCCGCGACTCTACTACACTGACGCCGCTTCCTGTTCCTGCTGCCGTTTCTCTTGCTGACCCCTCCAGCGGTCCGGTAGTCGCCCGCAGTTCCACCATCCTTCCCTGTCCGGCGGTTCCTTCGGGCACTCTTACAGGTCTGCATATCCCCTCGTTCTCCAGGAACCTAGTTGGTGTCGGCTGCCTCCAGGACCTTGGCGTCACCACTACGTTCCCTAGTCACGAGCGGTATGCTGTCTGTACCGAGGCCGCCACTGGTGCCCCCGTGTCCACGTTCCCCCGGTACCCGGTGTCCGGCCTGTTCACACTCTGGACACCGTGACCCCCCCGGCTGGGGCGCCCCCTCAGGTGGCTGCGTCTACCCAGGTTGCTGCTGCCTGCTCCTGTCGGTCCCTCACTCACCCGACTCTCCTTTGGCACCACCGCCTAGGTCACCCTGCGCTCCCGCGTCTGCATCACATGTCCCAGCACGGTCTCGTCCTTGGTCTCCCTGGTTCTCTCCCCGCTTTTCCCTCCTCCCCAGCCCCACCTTGCACGCCTTGCGTCGAGGGTCGGCTTCGCCGTGCCCCTCACTCCTCTTCGTTTCCCCCTACCGCCGCGCCGCTGCAGACCCTGCACATGGACATCTGGGGCCCCGCCCCTGTCCATGGGCCGCGTGGAGAGCGCTACTTCCTTGTGCTTGTCGACGACTTCACTCGCTACACCTCGATCTTTCCCCTGGAGCGGAAGGCCGACGTGCCTGCCGCTCTCATCACCTGGCTTGTCTCTGCCCGTGTCCACTGAGGTCTCCCTGTCTTGCGCCTTCACTCCGACCGTGGTGGCGAGTTTGCCTCAGGTGTCCTTGGTCGCTTTTGTCGTGCGGAGAGCATCACCCAGACATTCACCCTACCGGACTCCCCACAGCAGAATGGGGTCACTGAGCGACGCATCGGTTTGGTCATGGAGGTGGCTCGCACCTCCATGATCCATGCTGGTGCACCCCATTTTCTGTGGCCGTTCGCTGTGCGCTACGCTTCTCACCAGCTTAACCTGTGGCCGCACCCCCAGCAGCCGCAGGTTTCACCGACCCGTCTTTGGACTGGGTCTACTGGTGACGCGTCTGGGTTCCACGTCTGGGGCTGCCTTGCTCACGTCCGTGCCTCCGGCACGGACAAGCTCACTGCCCGCACCCTTCCCGGCGTCTTCCTCGGTTTTCCTCTTGACGCGTCCGACTGGCACTTCTACCACCCGCCGTCTCACCGCTTCTTTCAGTCTCGCGACGTCACCTTTGACGAGTCCGTCTCCTACTACCGTCGCTTCCCCCACCGTGGTCCCCCGGTTACCCCCCCCCTGTTCCTGGTCACTCCTTCCCCGGTAGTCCCTACTCCTCCCCGTCCTGCCCCCTCTGATGTGTCCCACGTCACCCCTCTTCCGTCGGTGGTCCCGGTTGAGGAGTCTTCTGACTCTGGTGGTCCTGCGGCGCAGTCCTCACCGGCTGCCCCTCCCCAGGCGTCCCCTCCTCCACCGCCTCTGCCGCCGCTGTCGCCCCTCCTGTCGCAGCCGTTGTCACCTCCGCCGCCGCCGCCGCCGTCGTTGTCGCTGCCGCCGCCGCCGCCGTCGCAGCACCCGTTCGTTGACTCTGGGGGTGCTGGCGTTGGAGTGCGTGCTAGTCCCGGTACCCCTGGGGGTGGTACCGGTTCTCGAGGGGTTTCGGGCCCTGGAGGTGTTCCCTTTGGGGGTGCTGGCGTGGAGTGTGCCGGTGGTAGCCGAGGAGCAGCTTGCGGTCCCGGTGTCGGCGGTGTGCCCCCGCAGCAGCAGTCCCCGCCGGTGTCAGCCCTTCGCCTGCTCGGCCTTCCGTCACCTGACCCTGCGTCTGTTCCTCTCCGCCCGTCTCCTCCTCTTCCCGTGTACGGCCCTGTGTTCCCTCCGCCGAACTCGTCCCCGGCTCGTCTTCCTCCTCGTTCCCCCCCTGTGTCCCCTCCCCTGTCTCCTGACCCGACTCCTCCGTCTCACGTCCGGTCTCACCGTCCCTCCCGTGCTCGTCCTGCCTCCTCTGTCTTGCGCTCCCACCCTATGTTGCTTCGTTCCCACGCGTCTCGTCCTCCCCTTCTCCCGTCGCCTCCTCCGTCCTCCCTTGTTGTTGCACCTCCCCCTCTGTCTGACTACCTTCGTGCCGCTCGTCCTCTTGTTCCTCGGGTTCTTGCCTCTCTCGTTACCGACCCGTCTGTTCCGGTCTCGTGCCTTGACGCTCTGGTAGCTGCGGTCGCTGACTTCGCCTCTACCCGCCGCCTTGACTACACCACTGCTCTGGTCTCTGACCCTACCTGTCCTCCGTCTGTCGGGGGTGCTCCTGCCCTCGGCAGTGACGTCCTGGAGGACCGCCAGTTCGAGCTTGCTTTCCTGTCCGAGGCTGCTCCCCATCTCTGTTCCATGCTGCTAGTCCCTGAGGGTGACCCAGACGCTTTCGACATCCCGACCCCTCGCACTTACGCTGAGGCGACCTCGGGACCTTTTGGCCTCGCAGTGGATAGCTGCCATGGAGCAGGAGATGGCATCTTGGAGATCCACCGGCACCTTCGTCGACGCAGTTCCCTCGCCTGGGGTGAACGTAGTCGATGGTCGCTGGCTCTTCAAGGTGAAGCGCCCTCCTGGAGAGCCGCCTGTGTTCAAGGCGCGCTACGTGGTTAGAGGCTTCAGTCAGCGTGAGGGGGTGGATTTCTTCCAGACCTTTGCTCCGACCCCGAAGATGACTACTCTTCGGGTTCTGTTACACCTAGCTGCTCAGCGTGACTACGAGCTTCACTCCGTTCTACATCCTTGTTTACATCGATGACCTGGGCTTTGCCACAGCAGACAGGGACGCACTGGCCTCAGTGAAGGCAGAGCTGCTGAAGAGACACACGTGCACTGACCTTGGAGAACTGCGCCGTTACCTTGGCTTGCAGATCTCCAGGGACAGAGCAGCGCGCACCATCACCCTGACTCAGTCACACTTGGTGCGCCAGGTCCTTCAGAGGTTCGGCCTTCAGTTCTCCTCTGCACAGCCCACCCCTCTGCCTGTAGACCACAGACTCTCTGCTCCAGTTTCTGAGGAGTCGGTAGAGCCCAGCGGCCCCTACGCAGAGCTGGTGGGTTGCCTCATGTACCTGATGACTTGCACTCGCCCAGATCTCGCATACCCTCTCAGCATCCTGGCTCGCTTTGTGGCCACAGGCAGACACCGACCGCAGCACTGGTCTACCGCTAAGAGGGTTTTGCGTTATCTTGCTAGTACATCAGGCATGGGGTTAGTGCTAGGAGGACGTGGGCCAGTGGTCCTTACTGGACACACAGACGCTTCTTGGGCAGACGATGCCGAGACACTCAGGTCTACCCAGGGCTATTGCTTCAGCCTTGGTTCAGGTGCCGTCTCGTGGAGAGCTACCCGCTCCTCGTCTGTTGCCCAGTCCAGCTGTGAGGCCGAGATCTACGCTGGTGCCATGGCGGCACAGGAGCTCCGCTGGCTGACCTTCTTGCTCACTGACTTAGGTGAGCGGCCTAGCTCTGCCCCGGTCCTGTTCGCTGACAACAGGGCCATGATCCTCCTGTGTCAGGAGCCTCGACTCGAGGGCAGAGCGAAGCATATTCAGCTGCGGCACTTCCTCCTGCGCGAGCTACAGCAGCGACGCCAGGCTCGCGTAGTACACTTGGCCTCGGGTGCCAACACAGCTGATATCTTTACGAAGGCGCTTGCGCCTAGAGATCATCAGCGGCACTGTGTATAGCTTGGTCTAGTTCCTGTAGCCTCTCACTTACTAGGGCCTTGACTTTGTATTGTCCTTTATATGTGTACTCAGACTGGACTTGTGTCCTCTCCCAGTGGCTGGACTAGTAGTGCCGCCCTGGTCTTGTTCTTGCCTTGTCTGTACTCCTTTTGACTGGTCTTTTAGACCCTTGTCTCAGAGGCTGGACTAGTAGTGCCGCCCTGAGCTGCTTGTTCAGGACCTGCCCCTATGCAGTCTAGGGGGTGTGTCAAACATGTGTATCTCCTATGTTTGCATAGACTGTATCGGGCCACCTCTTAGAGGGTACAACACTTAGGTATATTCACGTGTACTCTCTCTCTACTCATCATTCAGTTCTCACTTTGATAAAGGCATCCGAGGGCGCGGAGTGGAGGAGCGTTTCGGGATGACACCGAAATAGCTCGGTGTAGCTCGTACGGGACAGAGCCAAGGCCTAGTCCGGTGACGTGTACGTTCGGAGTACACGCTAGCAGTGCGCCTCAGCAAGGAATTACTAATTCCTTACACCGCCTCCCAGGACTACCAAAGAAAGCCTTGATAGGGTTCCCCATTACTGAGCCAATATTAAAAAAAAAAAAATGTATGCAACACGCGTGGGAAAACACATTATATACAAATGGCACAGCACACAGTGTAAAACTTTATGATTTGGAGGAGCAATCAGCTGAGGTCCAACCAATCCTCGTATTCTCATTATCATACACTACAAGATAGCCACGCATCGCAATATCTGTAACACATGTACACGAGGGACAACACGCAATGCAATTGAATGGAGGGGGGGGGGGGGGGGGGGGGGGGGAGGGGGGGGTTTAGAGTTCAAAAAAAGAGAAAAGAGTAAAACTTGACGCATGGATGAGGAAGTACATGTATTCCAATCCGGGAGAGGTGCAGAGATGATGAACTGGCAAGACAGCTCGGGCAATTTTTTTTTGGAAAAGCTATCAGAAAGCACAGAGCAATTTGAACAGCATTCCAATCAAGCACGTCCTTCAAGCAGATCCCAGACCTTAAGTCAGACCCCACCTCGTGTCATGCTCACTACGGACAAGATTTTGCCCTGCGCAGAAATGCAGGATTCTGACGCAAGGTCTAGGAACCCGCCCTTGCTCTGTCTTCAGCAACAGATACTGACACCGTAACTTATGTGACTGAATGTCAGATGTAAGACTGCCATACCTCCGATGGTTTGGGAAGTTACGTCTCAAAACACACTTGTTCTCATAAGAATGCCGTACCTCCGATGATGGTTTGGGAAGTTATGTCTCAAAACACGCTTGTTCTCATAAGAATGCCGTACCTCCGATGATGGTTCGGGAAGCACTGCCTAATGCGAGTGACTCCTCTCCGTTCAGAATGCCAAGACACACTGTGCCACGCCCCTGTGTGGGATTGAGGGGCAAGAGAGGTGGGGGCAGGAGGGAACGTGGGAGAGAGGAGGTGCGAAGAAGCACCCCCTAAGGCAATGGACTCCTCTCCATTCAGTACGCCAAGACACACTGTGCCACGGCCCACGCCCCTGTGTGGGGGGAAGGGAAAGAGGGGTGGGGGGAAGGCGGGAAGTGAGAAAGAGGAGGCGAGGGGAATCGCTGGCTACAACAATTTTTCCTCTCTGTTCAGAATGCCAAGACACAACGTGGCACGCCCATGTGCGCGTGTGAAAGGGGGTTGAAAAGAGGGGAGGAGGGGAGGATGGGAAGGAGGACCCCATGTGCCCCTGTACTGCTCACTGATAAGAGGAGGTATGAGGAAGGAGGTACAAGATTCCTCACTGTCTGGAATGCCAAGGGGGGGCACGTTAAGGGAGGTACAGGAGGATCAGCAGGGTGTTTTGAAGAATTCTCAAAAACACCCTGCAAAACCCTCAACCATTCTTGATGAGGTATGTGGGCTCCGTTCTTACTGGCGAGAGAAGGTATGCAGAGGGAGCAACAGTGACTTCAGCCGATGAGGAGCCTATTTTTGAGGCGCCTGAAAATATAAACCCTTAACCGCGTGGGCCCCCACTCTTACTGGCGAGAGAAGGTCTGCGGAGGGGGCAACAGTGAGGTCGGCCAATGAGGAGCCTATTTTTGAGGCGCCTCATGCCTGTGGGCCCCCATGCCTGTAGGCTGTACTTACCGGCGAGAAAAGGTATGTGGAGGGAGCGACAGTGAGGTCGGCCGATGAGGAGAAGATGGAGTGTGACTTGAACGCAAAGGTGAGTGTAGCGAAGTGAGATGCCACGTCAGCAACGGATCTGAAGGAGGGTATTGCATGGGCGTGGGTGGGGGAGAAACATTGGGGGGAGGGACAGTGACAGTGAGTGACCCAGCAGCAACAGCAGCAGGGGGAGAAACATGAGGCCAGGTGAAGGAACATGAGGCCAGGTGAAGGAACATGAGGCCAGGTGAAGAAACATGAGGCCAGGTGAAGAAACATGAGGCCAGGTGAAAGAACATGAGGCCAGGTGAAGGAACATGAGGCCAGGTGAAGGAACATGAGGCCAGGGGGAGAAACATGGGGAAAACGGGAAGAGCAAAGATGCAAGAAAAGGTTTGGGCCAAGTGAGGCGTAGAGATTCAAGCCTTTGAGTCGACTCAAAAGCAAGCGAGGTGTAGAGATTCAGGCCTTTGAGTCGACTCAAAAGCAAGCGAGGCGTAGAGATTCAAGCCTTTGAGTCAACTCAAGCAAGCGAGGCGTAGAGATTCAAACCTCTTTATAGGCTGCCTCAAACGTTGACATACAAGGTGCGACAAAGTGGGGAGAAAAAGTACAATTGCCAGGCGCCTCAAATACAAGTGAGGCGTAGATGTACAAGGGCACAGAGAGGCACGTTGCGGCATAGATGTACAGGGGCACGAAGAGGCACGTTGCGGCATAGATGTACAAGGGCACGGAGAGGCATGGCGCGTATATTCGGCAAAGAATGGTTTTTGAAACATCGGCAAACGCATCTACTGAATGCCTTTGAAAAGGTTTTTTCGTACCTGATCTCTGGTGCCCCTTTCCCTGCCTTCCAGCAGTGGGGCAGCACAGTGGCGGTGGTGTCACGCTGTAGGCCTGCTGCTGCTGCATCGGCTGATGCCTGGGAGGGGGACAGGGATGGGCGAGACAAGGAAAAGGCACCGGCACCGGCACCGGCAACGCAGATGGGTTGAGAAACTGGTGCCCCTTTCCCCGCCTTCCAGCCATGGTGAAGCACAGTGGCGGTGGTGTTACGCTGCAGGCCTGCTGCTGCTGCGTCTGCTGATATCTGGGGGGAGGGGAGCAATGGGAAGACATTCATGGATCCAGTGATACAGTGAGTGCTTTTGAGGCGCCTAAAAAAATCCGAGTGAACTGAGAGTGCTTTTGAGGCGCCTAAAAAAATCCGCGTGAACTGAGAGTGCTTTTGAGGCGCCTCAAAAGCACCATCAAATGATACAGTGAGTGAGGCCCCTTTCCCCGCCCTCCAGCAGTGGGGTAGCACAGTGCCAGTGGGGTCAGCCTGTCAGGCTGCAAGCCTGCTGCTGCTGCATCTGACGATACCTGGGGCGGGGAGAGGAGTGATGCAACAAGGCAGCAACAAAGCAGCAGGAGGGAGGTGTGGGGGGTGGGTTTTGAGTCGACAACTCAAAAATCACCTGGGGGGTGTTCTGCTGTAGGCCTGCTGCTGCTGCATCGGCTGATACCTGGGGGCGGGGGGAGAGGAGGGGCGACTCAACAAGGCAGCAACAAAGCGCTTGGGTTGAAGAACTTGAGCGATCAGAACCCCTTTCTTCTTGCAGGGTGCTTTTGAGAATTCTCAAAAGCGCTTGGGTTGAACCTGAGAGATCGGAGCCCCTTTCTTTGCCTGCCCTCCAGCAGCAGTGGGGCAGCACACAGCGGGTGTGGTGTCTGCTTGTAGGCCTGCTGCTGCTGTGTCTACTGATAGCTACCTTTGAAGGTTTAGAAAGGTGTGAGAAGGTGCGGGAAGGCGTGGGAAGGCGTGGGAAGGTGCGGGAAGGTGTGGGACGGTGTGGGAAGGTGTGCGCAACAAGGCAATACATGTTACAGGTAAGTTGGGCGACAGGCACCCCTTTCTACACCCACAATCCAGCAGCGGGGTGGCGCAGTCGTGGTTTTACAGGCAGCAGCAGGCAGGTTAGCGAAGGACAGCAGCTAGAATTCTCACAAACCAACTTACCTCATAAAGGCGACAGAGTGTCAGAAACAGCCAGTGCCCTCTCCATGTACCACCCCTCCCACATTCACCCTCCCACCTTCACCTTCCCTCATCCATATATTCATCTTCCCTCTCACCATCAGCAGCAGCAGGTCAAAGGCAGCAGCAGGCAGGTAAGTGAACGACAACCCCAAGTCAAAAACAGCCCTCTTCCAGTCTCCACTCCGTCCGTGGTATAAGCAGACGCTAAGCCCCCTTCCTATCACCACTCTCACCATCAGCAGCAGGGGGTCGAAGGCAGCAGCAGGCAGGAAAGTGAATGAGGATCCCGAGTCCAAGATCCCCCTTCTTCCACTCTGCCTACTACTTCAGCAAGATCCCCCTTCATCCCCGGTATAAGCAGGCATAAAGTCCCCTGCCTACTACCCCTCTCACCATCAGCAGCAGCGGCTCGAAGGCAGTAGCAGTAAGATATGTGAAAGACGACCCAGAGTCAAAAATAGCCCCTCCGCTCTCCACTCCATCCTCATTATAAGCAGACGGCGAGCTCCCAGTGTTATCTCGCTCCACCTTGGAGGGGCTGGTGGGAAGCTTTTTGGAACCGTAGGAGACGTGGAGAAGTGACGCGTGATAAAAGCGGCTGGGATGGGTGGGATGGGATGGGATGGGAGAGAAAGGGGGAAGAAGGGGATAGACACGGGAGAGAGCATAATCTGATTCGACTCAACATACTAGAGCCGTGTAGGAGATGTCGTTTTTTAGGCGCCTCAAAGAGACGCGCGATAATAGCAACTGGGATGGGTGAGCGTGAGAGGATGAGAAAAACGGCGTGATAGGAGTCTAGTTTTGAGACGCCTCAAACGGAGGAGGGGGAAAGGAATGGGATGGGAAGAGGAGGAAGCATGGGAGGGGATAGAGAAGGAAAGGGGACATGGCGGTTAAGTTCAAGAAGCACGAAGTAACCGCCCTCCAGGGCACAAATGGGGCTACGAGCCCCAAGAGCGCCGCCCCTGGAGTGATGGACTGGGGTATGAGCGCTTCCCCAGTGAAGAAGTAACCTCCCCCAGATGCTGCTTCCCCAATGAAGAAGTAACCTCCCCCAGATGCTCCCCCGAGTGAAGGTTGCTGATGTTCGTTGCTAGACGAGACGGCAGCTCCTAGACTCTCACTCACTCTCCCCCCTTTCACTCCTCATTTACTCACTCCCTACCTCACTCCCTCACTCCCTCACTCCCTCATTCACTCACTCACCCACTCCCTCACTCACTCACTCCCTCATTCACTCACACACCCTCACACACTCCCCCACTCACTCACGTGTCGCTGGTTGAGGCACGGGGCGTCCACGTGACGGCCGTGGGCAAGAGCGCGTCCCCAATGAAGAAGTAACCTCCCCCAGATGCTGCCGAATCCAGACAGTGCCCGAACACGTTGCGACCCACCCCTGCCCTTGACAGCTGTCGAAGAGGAAAGCGGGGGGAGATGGGGAGGAGTGGGGAGGGATGGGGAGGGCTGAGGTGGGGTGGGGTGGTTTGGGGTGGGGTGGGGTGGAGTGGGCTAGGCTGGGCTGGGCTGGAGAGATATCTTATGGAGAATGAGTGCAGGCATAGGGGGGGGGGGTTGGATGGACATAGACATGCATACATGGGGTGTTGGTTGGAGGGGCCGAGGCCCAGCAGCACCCCATCGGAGAGAGCAGGGGAGAGGGCGAGGTCACCCTCGTGGTCATAGGCACAGCCATAGGTAGAGAGAGACGGCTCGAAGCCGAATGAAACCCAGGTGAGGGAGCAGGTACCTGGGCGGGCAGGGAGAGGTTGGAGGGGCCGAGGCCCAGCACGCCGTCGGACCGAGCGGGTGAGATCGCGAGGTCGCCCTCCTGGTCGTAGGCGCAGCTGCAGATGAGCAAGGGGGGGAAGGGGGGGGGAGGGGTGGAGTGAAAGAGGGCTCCAGAAATGACCGACCAACCGGGCGGGCAGGCAGAGGGTGGTTGGAGTGGCCGAGACTTTTGAGTCGACTCAAGAGGGTGGTTGGAGTGGCCGAGACCCGGCACCCCATTGGAGTGAGCAGGCGAGACGGCGAGGTCGCCCTCGTGGTCGTAGGCGCAGCTGGCGTTGGCGTTGGGGGGAGGAAGGGGAGGGGAGGGGGGAAGCGAAGTGCAGTTGAATGAGTAAGAGGCTGCGGAACAATTCACCCGCCCCAAACGATGAATGAGTAATACTCGTTATAATCTCACCCGAATGTGAATTGCGCCACCTTGAGTGTGCCTGACGGGTGGAGGAATAGTAACCGCCCTACCCCAAGCAGCCCACCTGTCCCAAGCTGTACTCGTTATAATCTATCTCACTCACCCGAATGTGAACTGCGCTGCCTTGAGTGTGCCTGACGGGTGGAGGAACAGTAACCTATCCGTTACAAGCACGCCCTGGGAGCTGCTCCCATCTGCGTACACTATGTCATAGTCACACTGGTTAATGCCATCCTCGTTACTGTCACTCTCTTTAAAGTCACTCTCGTTACTGTCACCACCACCAGCAGCACCACCAGCACCACCAGCATCACCAGCACTCATATCTCTAACAGCCTCTTGCAAATGCCGTGGCTTGGCATGGACCATCTTTCCACTCCCTCCCTCCTCCCCCTCCCCTCCCTTCCCACTACTCTCTCCTCCACCTCCTCCCCTCCCCCTCCCCACCTCTCCTTTCTCCAGCCCCACGCCTCCCCCTTCCAAGCTCTCGGCTTTGGCAGCTTCCGAGCCTGGAGGCTGGTCTTCCGAGCCTGACGAGCAGCCTCGGATGAAGCCTGTCTGTGCGGCTCGGCAGAGGTCGGAACGGCAATCGACTGGAGAGGCATGGGAGGGGTCGTACCACGGGTTGGGGCCCTGGGCGGTGGGTTCGAACAAGAACAGAAAAAGGGTTTAGAAGGCAGCACAGAACACCGAAGGGGAAGAGAGAGAGGCATGTGTCGGTTGTAGTACCCAGGTTCTAGTAATACACAGACCACTTGAGAGGCATGCGAGAGAGCATACTATGGGTTGGGGGGCCCCCTGGGGAATGGAGAGGAAGACAGGAGAAAGAAGAAAGAAGAAAGAAGAAAGAAGAAGAGTGAGGAAAGGGAAACACAGAAGAGGGAGACGTATCACAGATGTAACGTCAGATGCACAGAAGAGGACAGCACAGACGACGGAGACGTATCGCAGGAGGTGATAGGGAGAGTGAGGAGCTTGGCAGAGGTGGGAGCGGCGGCCCACTGACGCAGCATGGGAGGGGTTACACCAAGGGTTTGGGCCGTGGGGGGAACGAATAAGGAACATGGTGCGTAAACATACACATGGGGTAAACGGGCATGGTGCGTGTTAGGGGGACGTCTTTTGAGTCGAGTCAACATACGCATGGGGTAAACGGGCAAAATGCATGTTAGGGGACGAATTTTGAGTCGAGTCAACATACACATGGGGTAAACAGGCAAAATGCATGTTAGGGGACGTATTTTGAGTCGAGTCAACATACGCATGGGGTAAACGGGCATGGTGCGTGTTAGGGGGACGTCTTTTGAGTCGATTCAACATAGGCATGGGGTAAACGGGCATGGTGCGTGTTAGGGGGACGTCTTTTGAGTCGATTCAACATAGGCATGGGGTAAACGGGTATGGTGCGTGTTAGGGGACGAGCACAGCAGAATCACCTGACTGACAAGAAGTGCTTGTGAGTCACTTCTTATGCGAGAAGCACTTAATGCAGTTAAGAAGTGCAGTTAAGAAGTGCAGTTAAGAAGTGCAGTTAAGAAGTGCAGTTAAGAAGTGCAGTTATGAAGTGCAGTTATGAGAGAAGCACAGGAGAAGTAGAGGACAAGCACTTAATGCTACAGACTAACTACCTGGGCGCAACAGAAGAACCACCTGAGGGCAACAAAAGTTCCACCTGAGCACAACAGAAGATTCACCTGAGAGCAACAGAAACTCACCTGAGCGCAGTGCACGCAGGGAGCGTCACAGGTCACCCATGAGACGTGGCTCCCCGTGTCTATGTCAAGGAAATACGTCTGCGGTGGCGTGCCCAGGCCCACTGCAATGTAGTAGAGTCTGAGGGAAGGGGAAGAGTGGGGACGGGGAGAGATGAAGAGGGGGGTTAGCAACTTAGCAGCACCCACGACACGTGGCTGCCCGCGGCTATGTGGAGGGAATACGTCCTTGGAGGTGAGCCCAGGCCCACTGCAATGTAGTAGAGGCTGGCATGGGAGGGGGAAGCGAGAATGGAAGGGAATGGGGCTAAATGAAGGGGGAAGCACCCACGAGCCACCCACGTCACATGACTGCCCGCGTCTATGTCGAGGAAATACGTCCTTGGAGGTGAGCCCAGGCCCAATACAATGTAGTAGAGGCTGGCATGGTTTTTTAGAATTCTCCAAAAGCTAACTCATGTAGTAGATAGAGGCTGGCATGGGAAGGAGCAGGGGGGAGGCGAAAGGTGACTTTTGAGTCGACTCAAAAGTCATCAGGCCCACTGAAATGTACTAGAGGCTGGCATGGGAAGGAGCAGGGGTTTTTTTTTAAGAATTCCCAAAAACACCCTGTAAAATCAGGGGGAGGCGATTGTTATGAGTCTATTTTTGAGTCAACTAGAAAATAGACTTGTAACAGGGGGAGGCGAAAGGAGGGAAGTGGTGACGAACGATGCGCCGAGTCACTTCTGCTGGTTTTGTTTACACTGCTGCTCGTCTCGATCATGGCTAACAGTCATTTCTGCTGAGGGGAAATTCTAACAAATGGCTCCACTATATCACCCATGGCCCATGGCGCCTGGGGTGTGGTGTGGCATGGTGGCTTTTGAAGCGCCTCAAAAGTCGGCTATATAGCAGAGTCTGGGGTGTGGTGTAGCATGGTGGAAGGGGGGGGAGAGGGGAGAAAGTGGCCAATGGAGGGGAGAAAGTGGCCAATGGAGGGGAGAAAGGGGCCAATGGAGGGGAGGGCCTGCAGCACCCACCGCACACATCCCCCCCATCCCCCCAGATCCCCTTCCCCCCCCTCACCCCTCAGGGAAGATGCGCCCATGGATGTGGGGAGCATGGCAATCCCCAAACCTCCCCCCACTGCCCCCTCCCCCTTCCTCTCACCCCTCAGGGAAGATGCACCCATGCATGCGAGTCACTGCCGACGACGAGCCACCATTGGCAGTGACAACCCACTGCTGCCCACGGGGGTGACAACCCCATACATCCCCCACCCTCTCATGCCCCTCTTCCCCCTCTCCCCAATCTCCCCCCCACCCCCCTCTTCCCCTTCTCCCCCATCTCCCCCCCACCCCCCTTTCCCCCTTCTCCTCCATCTCACCCCTCAGGGAAAATGCGCCCGTGGATGCGAGTCACAGCGGCCGACGACCCCTTGACCAATCGCAGCCCACCACCTGGCACTGTGGCTCCTGATGCTGCTGCCACGGCTGCTGCTGCTGCACTGTGCTGCCGGCTGCGCACCTAATTGGGTTTGAGGGAGGAAGGTGGGGTGGGGGTATTTTGAGTCGGCTGCTGCTGCTGCACTGTGCTGCCGGCTGCCCAAAATACACCTGGAGGGTGGGGTGGGGGTCGGTTGAGGGAGGAGGGTGGGGTGGGGGTCGGTTGAGGGAGGAGGGTCTCCTCTCACCTGCACCCTCTCCTCTCACCTGCACCCTCTCCTCTCACCTGCACCCTCTCCTCTCACCTGCACCGTCTCCGCGTTTCAGCACCCAGCAGTCGCCTCAGCATTCCCAGCCCCGCTGGCTCCGAGGTGTGTTGTCATCCAAGCTCCCGCCATTAAGGCTTGAGACGCCTCAGCCCCAAGGTGTGATGACATCCAAGCTCCCGCCACTAAGGCTTGAGACGCCTCAGCCCCGAGGTGTGATGACATCCAAGCTCCCGCCACTAAGGCTTGAGACGCCTCAGCCCCGAGGTGTGATGACATCCAAGCTCTCGCCATTAAGTCTTGAGACGCCTCAGCCCCGAGGTGCAAGGTACAAAAAAACGGCGTATTTTTCCTTTTTAGCCCGTATCATACTGTACCGAAATATACGACCGTTTAATACGGAAAGAAACGGTCTTGGGTGCGTTTTCATGTATGTGCAAAAAAACGGTCGTTTTTTTTTTCTGGGAGGTGTACTAGGTTTATAATTGCCAATCGAAGTCTTGTTAAGTGGTTGGGTTTGCTCGCCCTGTTGGGAAATTGTTCGCTCAACATTTTCCCGAAGCGCGAATGCAACCTCATCCCGAACCGCACATTTTGTGCATTTCGCATTGCCGTTGCGAACTTTCGGCAACACCTGTTTGGAATTTTGCGGCCCATAGCGCGCCCAATGCGCGACTCATTTCGCGATGCGCGAAAATCCAGCCTGGCCTTTCCATTTCGCGTCCCCCCAATGCCGTTTGTACAACGAACCCCCCCCACCTTGCCAAGTTGGTGTGAAACAAGTGTGGAGCAGCTCCAAGCAAGGTAAGTGCATAAAGGTGAAATCGCGAATTCAGCTATCCACACTTCAGATTCGGCTCTCAACCCCAACTAGGTACATTTACCCCCGGTTCGTTCATACGCGCTGCATCGCGTCCTAATTTCGACCGACTTAGATTAGTAATCCCACCATGCCACGAGCTCCGTCGCGCATGTGGGAACACGTGCATAAAAATTTTAGTGATGACGGGAAACTAATCCGCGCTGAGTGCATTCACTGCCACAAACCCGTCACTGCCAACGCAACGCGGATTACAGAGCACCTATACGGGACTCCCACCACTAAGTTTAGGAATGTCGCTCAGTGCACCTCGGATTTCGCGGAGAACCTTCGCTCAATGGGCGAGGCCGAGCGGAGTTCCACCTGCTTGGGCTTTAGCCATGGCTCCACGTCCACGGTCGAAGGGCAGGCAGTTCGAAAAAGGGGCCAGATGGATACTCGCACCATGACGGACAAGGCGGCCCGCGAGCACATGGACTACTTGTGGGCGACGGCTGTCGCGGAAAACGATTGGGCTTTCCGCACCTCGCAGTAAGTACTCCCATGCCGCCCAACACCCTAGCCTTTGATGCCATGGAACATGCTATGCTGGGGTCGGATCTTCAACTCTACCATGCCAAGCTCTCTAACAATCTGCCTCTCGCTTTGCTCAGATCTCTGGCCCTCCAAGAGTTCGTTAATGCGGCTGTCCAATTCGGAAAGAAGTACACCATGCCGTCTGAGTACAAAGTCAGCGGGCCGCTGCTTGTCAAGCTAAAGGCGGACACTGTTGAGCTTGAGAGGCCTCTCAAGGAGACTTGGAACACCAGTGGGTGTTCCTTGTCCATCGACGGATGGTCGTGTTTGAAGAGTCGCGGGCTCGTGTGCATTGACGGCCAGAATGACACCCGCTTTGCTGATCTTCAAGGCGACTTGCAGCGAATGGTGATTAGTGAGGAGTGGAAGGGGATTGCAGTGGCCAAGAAGGAGGAGGGGCGGAAGCTCAAAGACCTCCTTTTGGAGGACAAGTTTTGGGAGGCAGTGGGGGTCGTCGTCAAGCTCATGACCCCACTGTACGAGGTGCTACGAGCAGTCGACCGTAGATCCGTCCTCATGGCGAGGATCTACGGCCTAATGCCGGACGCCACGGTCAAGACTACCAAAGCGGCGGCGGCTGCAGGTAAGCCACTTCCCGCTCCTCCTTTTCAACTCTGCCCTCACCGTCTGCCTCGGTACTTGGCTGCATGTGCTGCTCCTCACGAATCCACCCTTCCCCCTCCTCCTTTTCAACTCTGCCCTCACCCGTTTCCCTAAATATCAGCTGTGTTTTTTGTCAAACAGACAAAACTGCTGGCTGCTAAGAAAAAGCCGGGTTTCTTGAAGACCGTGCAAAAGATCATTGCTCGACGGTGGGACAAGCAGCTGCACAACCCCCTGCATGCTTTGGGGTGGCTGCTGAACCCGAAGAACCAATTCTCGGAGGAAGTGCGGACCGATCAGGAGATCAGGGATGGAGTGCAAGCCGTGCTAGAGGCAAAGGAGCACGATGTGCAGATCCGCACCCTGCTTCAAACCCAAATTGCCAGCTTCCACAAAGGGGAAGGCCGTTTGGGGAGCGGCAATGCAAGGTTTGCTGCACAAGCTCTTGTAGAGAGCGGCAGGCTTTCGGAGGCAGAGTGGCGGTTTATCTATGGTGGGGAGGTGCGCGCCTTGCAGGAGTTGGCGGTAAAGGTCCTATCCCAACCCATCACCGCTTCGGAAGTCGAGCGGTGCTGGTCGGCTATGGCGCGGGTGCAGCGACGCGATCGGAACAAGCTGAACGCCAAGACCATGATCGATGTCACATGGGTGGCGTTCAGCCGCCGCGCTCGGGCCTCTTTTGACAAGAGGGTGGAGGCCCGTGCTCTGCTGTTTGCTGATCTTCAGGCACGCAAGTACACGGCAAACAGCAGTGACCCGTTTCCACCTCTCCCTCAAGAGGTTGTGGAGGAGGTGGACCTTGAAGGGAGTGAGGATGAGGCCGTCGAGTGTGCCATTGATTGGGACACCTTCGGGGACATAGGCGGGAAGAAGAGGAGGAGGGTCAGTGCCACAAGGAAGAGGGGGGCAGAGAAGGTAACCTGCCGAACCAAGGGGACCAAGGATCGCGGCACTTGGGACATGGGCGAGGGAGAGGAGGAGGAGGAGGAGGAGGAGGAGGAGGAGGAGGAGGAGGAGGAGGAGGAGGAGGAGGAGGAGGAGGAGGAGGAGGAGGAGGAGGAGGAGGAGGAGGAGGAGGAGGAGGAGGAGGAGGAGGAGGAGGAGGAGGAGGAGGAGGAGGAGGAGGCTGAGGAGGCTGAGGAGGAGGAGGAGGCTGAGACTGAGGAGGAGGAGGCTGAGACTGAGGAGGAGGAGGCTGAGGAGGAGGAGGAGGCTGAGGAGGAAGAGGAGGAGGAGGAGGAGGAAGAGGGGGAGTCTCACGAGGAAGCCTAGGAGGATTAGGGGGGAGGTTAAGGTGGAGGAGGGGGGGGCTTAGGATGAGGATGGGGAGGTAGACACCTGCAGGAGGAGGAGGAGGGGGGGGCCTTCGAGGAGGGGGACGTAGACTTATCGACTGCAGTGGCGTTTCTATCTGTAGCCGCATTTAGATGTTGTTTTGACGTTAGAAAGCCCATGGAAGTTGTCCCCACCTGTTTACTAGTCAGAGTAGGCTTTTTTTTTTGTGCACATTTTCGACTATTAAAAATTTGACGTATTTCTCCTCAAATCACCGAAAAAAACAGGCCGTATGAAACGGCCGTTTTTTTCGGTTGCCGTATTTTTGCACCTTGCCGAGGTGTGATGTCATTCAAGCTCCCGCCATTAAGGCTTGAGACGCCTCAGGCCCAAGGTGTGATGACATCCAAGCTCTCGCCATTAAGTCTTGAGACGCCTCAGCCCCGAGGTGTGATGTCATCCATGCTCCCGCCATTAAGGCTTGAGACGCCTCAGCCCCGAGGTGTGATGACATCCAAGCTCTCGCCATTAAGGCTTGAGACGCCTCAGCCCCGAGGGGTGATGACATCCAAGCTCCCGCCACTAAGGCTTGAGACGCCTCAGCCCCGAGGTGTGATGACATCCAAGCTCCCCCCATTAAGGCTTGAGACGCCTCAGCCCAGAGGTGTGATGACATCCAAGCTCCCGCCATTAAGGCTTGAGGCGCCTAAGCCCCGAGGTGTGATGACATCCAAGCTCTCACCACTAAGTCTTGAGACGCCTCAGCCCCGAGGTGTGATGTCATCCAAGCTCCCGCCACTAAGGCTTGAGACGCCTCAGCCCCGAGGTGTGATGACATCCAAGCTCCCGCCATTAAGGCTTGAGGTGCCTAAGCCCCGAGGTGTGATGACATCCAAGCTCCCGCCACTAAGGCTTGAGACGCCTCAGCCCCGAGGTGTGATGACATCCAAGCTCCCGCCACTGAGGGTGAAGCAAGACAACTCACCTTGAGAGAAGCCTTGAGGCACTAGCTTCTCTCAACCACCTCACCTGCACCCTCTCCGCGTCTCCTCTTTCCAGCAGTCGCCTTCTCAACCTTCTCAACTCCGCCCCCTCACCCCACTCCCCCAACCCCTCCTCTCCCATTTCCGCCCCCCTGCTCTTCCCCCCGACATTCCTCTCACCTGCACCCTCTCAACGCCGCTTCTGTCCAGCAGTCGCCTCAGCCTCCTCAGGCTTCCGCCTTACTCAAGTTTTGAGGCGCCTCAAAACCAGCAGTCGCCTCAGCCTCCTCTCCTCAGGCTTCCGCCTGACTCAATTGCGCCCCATGAAGGCGGGCGCAAGGCACTATCTTCTCTCAACCGTCTCTCGCGCGTGAGGAGTCCCATTTTTTATGCGCCTAAAAAATGCAGCCCTCTTTCAGCTCACCAGCACTCCCTCCGCGTCTCTTTTCAACAGTCGCCTCAGCCTCCTCAGCCTGCTTCCTCCTCCCTCGAATCCAATTCCTCCCCCCACCCCCCCCGTGTATTTCCAGTCGACTCAAGCTCACCTGCACTCTCTCCGCGTCTCTCTCCAATAGCCGTCTCAGTCTTCTAAGCCCCGCCTCCTCCCTCCATTCCTTCCAATCCCCCAACCCCGCCTCCCCCCTCCCCTTCCCCCCACCCCCTTCCTCCCCCACCTTCCCCCTCCCCATTCCGCTTCCCCCCCGCTCCCACCGCCTTCTTTCCCGCGTGGCTCGCTCCCTTCTCCCCGCCACGCCAGAATCCCCTTTTGAGGCACCTGCGGAATATTCACTCAAGCTATAATCAACCCCCATAAGAGCCTCTTCGTTAGAGGCGCCATCACTGCCACGTTCCCCACCTTCCCCAGCGTCTCCCCCTCCCCTTCCCACTCCCCTCCCCCCTCCCCCACACCGCGCGTCCCATTCCGCGAATTCCGCCTCGCCCTCGAAATGCGCGCCGAAGCGCGGATTCAGCTGGTACACGTGGGACAGGCCCGTGACGAACGCCGGACACGTGGCGCCGTCGGATTGGAGGAGGGCGGAGAACGCTCGGAGGAGGTAGGCGGATTGGGGGAAGAGGAGGAAGAAGAGGGAAGGGCAGAGGAAGAGGAGGAGGGCCAGTAGACAGAGGACACGTGGCGAATAGCGGCGCATATCTAGAAGCGAATGGGAATAACTACGAGGTAATAACGCGGAAAGGTTGCTGGCTATTGAGTGAGACGACGTTCTGGCGGGCGTGCTTGTAAAGAATGTGCTTGTAACGGGTGTGCTTGTAACGGAGCAAGAGGAGGAGCTTTCGAGGTAGGACGAGACGAGGAGCGCGACCGGCTGGGGGAGGCAGGAGGAGAAGGCTGCGAGGACGAACCGCCAAGGACTTCCCGAGCCGCGATGACACGTGTCACCGTGAGCGCGGCTCGGAGAGGACGGGATTGGTGAATCGTCGGCATCGAGCTCGAAAGGCTGGAATCGCGGCGGATCCGGCGGAGACGGCGTGATTTGCGGCGTGATTAGCGGCGTAATTAGCGGCGCGGACGCGTCGGACGAGTCGTCGTGCGGCCGCAGCCGCACCACCCCGCCAGCCGCTGCTTCTGCTGACGAGGACGCTGACGTGGACGATGACGTGGACATGGAGTCATACGCAGCGGGCTTGACGAGCTTCGCCGCGCGAACCACGATTCGTCTCATGTAGTTCCAAGAAAGATGATCATACGCTTCAAAACATCAGGCTACGGTGCTCTAACAAACGCTCGAATGCCGCCTTCCAGAAGCAAACGCGATGCCTGTTCTCTTGAGCATCACAGGAAACAGCACGTAGCAGCAGCAGCAGCACTGTGGCGAGATAGATAGTAGGGAGGGAGTATCAGCTAGGCGCCCAGCGTGTTGTCGCCGCTGCGGTTGACAGCGGGAAGCGAGGGTCCTGGAAGGGGGAACGGGAGGGAGGGGGGGTGGGGGGAAGAGTACAGCACAGTACAGTAGAATACTGTGCTGTACATGTACTGCTGGCGGGAAAATGGGGGAGCAGGGGGAAGTGTACTGCTGGGGGGAAAATGCGGGAGCGGAGGGAAGTGTACTGCTGGGGGGAAGATGGGGGAGCAGAGGGAAGTGTGCTGCTGGGGGAAAGATGGGGGAGCGGAGGGAAGTGTACTACTGTACACTTGCCCACATAGAACATGGTTTCCCCCAGCTGCGCGCCGCAACATTGGGGATCGCGCAATTCGCGATGCGTGATTTGAGTGGTTCATTGACGTGGGTTGCTCGTTGCAATCGAAGTGAAGGTACACGTGGAGGCCACAGAGGAGTGGAGGGCGAAGTGACGTCCTCGCGAGGAAAAGGCGGCATTTTCTCGCCGCTGTCGCAAAGTAACGGTCTAATCGAAACACACCACACATCTCGTGTGCTACAGAATATAAAACTAGACTACAAGAATGCACTCATGTCAAACTCCCCTAAAAAGTAATTCCATCCTAACCTCATGTTGTAGTATAATACCATTGCACCTGTCCCCTTCCCCAATGGGTTCTCTCCCCTTGGGATTCAATCAAACCCCACCCATCGTCCATACCCCGCCTCGTCCTTGTGATCCTGCCGTAGCCACTGCAATTGCACACATTGAGAAAGCTTGCTTCTTGTTAGTGCAATTAGCATCGTTCTCATTTCACTGGCATTAACTACAAAGAGTTCCCAGTATATCCGTACATCAACCTAGATTGCTACACTAATAGGGCTATGCCTATGCTGATGAAGATCCACGGGAGCGCTGCAGGTTGCCGAGGACGAGTCGACGAAGCTAGATGGAACGGGTTGGGTGGGCGGGAATTGGACTTGAGCTGTGAAGAATGAAAAGACGTGGGTGGAGGAAGAATGACCTCCAACCACATTATATAGTCGGAGAAGGGCGAATAGCGCGCTTCGACGATGCGAAAAATTGCATTACAAACAGCTTCGTGTTCACAATACGCAATTTTAAAAGTGTAACACGTTAAAAAAATTACATATTGAGAAAGCTTGCTTCTTGTTAGTGCAATTGACATCTGTTGGAAATATCTCAAGGACTTAAGCGTTTCTGAAGTGTAACACTGTACTCGAGGAAGACTACAGGGGAGCACGCGAGTCAACGGAGGTTACACGAGGGGGCGGACAAAGAATGCGAAAGGACTCGAAAGGTCGCAACTGGAGGTTGCGACTGACCGTTACAACATCACGGATGGTAACCGAAGCGGCAATCGAGTCGCTGTGCGACTCGATAAACCGTTCCTGTAACTGTATTCTACAACTGCTTTCTTATCTACTATATATTGCTGTATGCTTGTTTCTTTAATCAATCACTTGTTCTCACATACTAGTACAAGGGTTCAACTGTCTCAATTTCCGCTGCACTACTCCAAGTCTCAAGTCTCTACAAGCTGGGACTTAGTCTCTGCAAAAGATCCTAAGGGCTTTTCTCAGCCCAACATGGTATGAGAGCTGGTCAGAGACCAAACTCCCAGCAACTACGTCCTATCAACAACCTGCAACTCAACTCAATTCAACGACTTCATTGATTACAAGACATGGACAACAAGGGCAAGAAAGTCTCTACGGGCTCACCCAGCGCCCAAGAAACTCAACACGGCAACTCTGGTCTGCACACCTCAGGACTGCAGACAGAGACCGGGACTGCTCAAGAAACAACGGGAAGAGTACCAGAGATGGTGACCCCGTCTCCCTCTTCAAGTGTGGACCCGAATCTCATGGAGAGATTCTTCAGCTTCATGTCACACTTCGATCAGCAGCAGCAGACAAGGACACCTGCGCACTCAACACAGAGCAATGGAGGGAATATGGGATTAGCGCCGATGAGCCTCGACAACTCATCCTTCGGGCGACACAATCAAGCGCCTACCTTTGCGCCTTATCATTCTTCGCCGGGGACGTTCGAATTCATGCCGCCCCGTGCCCAGCCAACAGCAGCTGCTTCACAACAAACACCGAATGAAATCTTAAGTTTACAGGCGCAGTTCTCACACGTGATCAAACTTCAGACATCCTCACCGTTCAACGGACACGACTTCTTTACCTGGAGCTTCGAGTTCGAGCTGCTGATGGAGGCCGCGCATCTTCTGGGATACTTCAACGGGTCCCTGCCATTCCCAAGCAACGGCACTGGGAAGGAACAAGAGATCTTCACGTATCAGTCGCTGCTGGCGTACACGGTACTCCTGAGAAACCTGTCACCACAAGAGCAGCAGAGCATCAGAACGTATCGGAGTTATGGAAACTCCGCGGAGCTCGCATGGCACCACCTCAAATGCCTTTACCAAGCAAACGACAGCGTGACACAAAGCAGACTCATGCAACAGCTGACAACAATACAGATGAAGACCGGGGAAAAGGCGATGCAGTATATGAGTCGCTGCCAGACCCTCCGCGACCGCCTGCTTCGGTGCGGAGGAACGATCACTGAAGAAAGCTTCGTGACACTTGTCCTCGCCGGGCTCGGGCCAGAATGGAGAACCACACGATCACTTCTTCGAGCCCACGGAAGAATTTCGGAGATGCACCTCTGCGCCGAGCTTCACGCTGAACAACAGGAGATGGATCTGTTCGAGGAAAGACAACCAAGGAAGCAACAGCAGTTAGTCTTCTACACTCAAAGAAGAAATGACAACAACTACAACCGACGCAGCAAGCAAGATCAACGTGACAACCGAGGACTCACCATCGTGCCGCCGTTCTGCCACAACTGTCAGACTTCCGGGCACTCCAAGGTCAACTGCAACCGCCCTCGCGTTTACCGTGCAGCAGACCCACAAGTCGCTTCCACTCAAGCAAGTCCTCCAAGGCGCTCTTCAACATCTGCACAACAAACACCCAACATCATCAACTGCATGGTACACATCGACAACTGCGCACCCGCTTCACCACCCACTTACGCACCAGACGAAGAGGAATTCCCGCCGCCGCGCTCGCAAGGACTTCAGGTCAACCCGACATACGCTGCAGTCGCTAACGCCGAACCCACCGGGCGGAACACCTGGTTCTTGGACAGTTGCTGCGGTCAGCACATGTGCTCCTCCGGACGCTTCGTACAACACGAGCGACGCCTCAACCGTGACGTCGTCATCACCGTCGCCAACAACGAAAACCTGAAAACAAATAGACAAGGCGTGGTTCAGTTACAATCAATGGAGACAAACGTTATTCTTCAGCTCAACAAGGTCCTCATCGTCGACAATCTGGGATACAACCTATTAAGCGTAAGCCAACTAATGGCTAAGGGGATTCACCTGGAGTGCGACTCCTTGTCCAACGAGTTCCGACTTTACCACGGGAAGGGCGGTCTCTTCATCGGTCGTGCCCTCCTGAAGTCCGGTGTCTTCGTGTTGGACTTCGTCCCCGACCGCGGAACTGCCGACAGCGACGGTATCGTATCCTTCGCCGCCTGGACTCATCCGCCAGATCTTGATCCCGACTTCGACAGCGACGGCTTCTGGCACTCCAACACCATACCTGCAGCAGAAAGAACACGAGCATTAGCAGTTATCAGACAAGAAAGACAAGTACCCGCATGTGTCCCAACAAAACCATCACCTGCAGTATCGGCAGCAGGACCCAGCCGAGTACCACCACCAGCGACACGAGGACAGCCAACCGAAGCAGACCAACTTATGCCCGCCACACGAGAAGCTTGTCGAAGTCCCGCCTCGGTCGTCGCGTTCTTCTCCAACGCCGACATCTACCACCGCTCGCCCGGTCACCGCGCTCCCGACGACATCTGGCACCAACGTCTCGGACATCCTGCAAACAGCACGATACTTCAAACAATCCAAGCAGAAGTGTTAGAACGCAACGCCCTTCTGACGACGAGCGGCCAGGAACTCCGACGACCACGCGCACGGTGTTTCACATGCCCCGAAGCAGATCTTCCTCATCAACCTTTCCCAGCCCATCACAATCCAAGCGCACCCACTTACGCTCCGATGGAAAAGGTCTACAGCGATATTCTAAACATGCCTCGAGACGACACCGAAGCCGACTTCAACTACGTCATCACGTTCATCGACGCCGCAACCAGATACGTCTGGCACTTCAATCTCAAAACGCGCGATCAAGCCTTCGAGGCATTCACCACATGGCTTCCAATCGCCGAACGAGAGTCAGGAACCAAACTCAAGAGTTTCCAGTCAGACGGTGCACTGGAATACCAGTCACAACGCTTCAGGACCTATCTCGCGGAAAGGGGAATCCGACGCCTGGTGTCTCTGCCCTATGCTCACCAGCAGCAGGGGGTAGCAGAACGCATGAACCGGACCTTGCAGACGACGATGCGAAAACTGCTTCTGGGGATGAGGCTGCCCAACGCACTGTGGCCAGACGCGATGACACATGCAGTCCACCTGCACAACCTGTTGTCCTCGTCATCGCTCCCCAACAACGCATCACCACACCTGCTGTGGACGGGAAAAAGGGGCAGCACAAAATTACTTCGAGTTTTCGGCTGCATGGTACAATACAGACCCCACACAGCTCGAGCAGGACGCTTCACTCAACGAGCTCGGTGGGGACTACACCTCGGCATCGCCAAACATTTTCACGCGTGGAAAATTCTCGACATACAAGACAAAAACACGGTGGCATCACGCGATGTTATCTTCTACGAACGACTGACGCTGCAGCATTACCTGGACAACATTGCCAACTCAGACGACCCCACCGACGGCTTCGCGGGCCTTCGCTCCTTCGCTGACCATGCTGCCGAGGCTGACGCAGCAGAAGAAGACGTACCTGGAGCCTCGGAAGCTGCCGGACCACTCCCATTCTGTTCCATACCTGTTCCACTCGATGAAGATAATCCCCTCGATAGCAACAACCTCGACACCTTTTACCACTTCGCCGACCAAGGTTACGCTACACCGCACCCCGTCGACACGAATATTTCGGAACGCATCGGCCCCAATTTCTTACCTGACCCCGAAGACGGTGACGAAGCAGCTTATTCGGGGAATGACAATTCCCCTCGACACACACCCACGGGACTCCAGATTCTAGGCCTCTGGGTCTCCGTCCAGCATCCGCCGCCGCCTTCTACGCGTGAGCCTTCAACCTTGTCGCAGGCTCTGGGGGGGGAACATAAGGCAAAATGGAAAGAAGCGATGGAAAAGGAGTTAAAAGCTCTGCAAGACCGAGAAACATGGAAACTGGTACCTGCAACGAGCATCAACGGGAAGAACGTTCTCTCGGGGAAATGGGTGTACCGCATCAAGACCAACTCAGACGGCTCCATCGAACGATTCAAAGCTCGATGGGTCGTACGAGGCTTCGATCAACGATACGGAACCGACTACACAGAAACCTTCGCCCCAGTCTCCCGTCACACCTCATTACGCATCCTACTCGCCGTCGCGGCCACAAAAACACTACCACTACGCCAAATCGATGTCGCGAATGCGTTCCTATACGCACCTGTGGACGCTGAGATCTTCGTCGAACAACCCCACGGATTCATCGACGACCCCACGAAAATATGCCGACTGACAAAATCCCTATACGGGATCAAGCAAGCCCCGCGGCTCTGGCAGCAGCATCTTCACAGCCGTCTCGTAAAAATCGGCTTCCTACAGCTGCCGCATGACCAAGGGATGTACCGACTGCAGAAGGGAAGAGAGTATGTTCTGCTCATCGTCTACGTCGACGACCTGCTCTACATCGGCTCAACTACCGACATCGCCACCTGGTTCGAAGGGGAGCTGAAAGAAGATTTAACTCTCACGGTGTCCGACGAAGTTACGCAGTACCTAGGACTGAACGTCGTCGAAGACGACACGGCGTTCTACCTACACGCTGGAAAGTACTCAAGCACCGTCGCGAAGAAATTCGCTCTAACACCGACTGCGGTCCCAACTCCCTACCGCTACGGGAACAACGGCAGCGCCTCTACAAAACTCCCCGCGAAACAAATCCAGGAGTATCAACAGAAGCTCGGCTGCCTACTATTCGCAGCAGTAACCTGCCGACCCGACCTATCCTATAGTGCGAGTCAGCTGGCGACACATCTGAAGCATCCGCAACAGGAAGATCTCGAAGAACTCAATCGAGCGCTACTCTACTTCGTCTCCACGCCGACGATCGGGCTTACCTACAGCAAGGCAACAACACCGTCCGTACGACTACTCGGATACGTCGACGCCGACCACGCGGGAGACAGCGAAAATCGACGGTCTAGGACGGGCTACATCTACCGACTAGAACCTATCGGAACTATCTCCTGGCAGTCGAGCAAGCAGGAGTTAATCGCACTATCCTCGGCTGAAGCAGAGTATATCGCCCTTTGTACTGCGACCAAGGAAGGACTCTACCTACGAGAGTTACTCGAAGAAGCGAAGATCGCGACCCTGCCCGCCTTCTCACTCCTCTGCGACAACCAATCTGCGATCAAAATCGCGAACAAGGACGGCTTCGCCAATCGAACCAAGCACATCGCCCTGCGGTACTTCTTCGTCAAGGATGAAATCGCGAAGGGGAGACTTCAACTCAGTTACTGCCCGACGACAGAAATGGCCGCAGATTATCTGACGAAGAAATTGGCGAAAGCAAAATTCGACTACTGCATGCTCCTAACCGGGCAAACAAACGCCACCAGATCTGAACACTCCAGCACTCCAGAAACGAAGGGGAGTGTTGGAAATATCTCAAGGACTTAAGCGTTTCTGAAGTGTAACACTGTACTCGAGGAAGACTACAGGGGAGCACGCGAGTCAACGGAGGTTACACGAGGGGGCGGACAAAGAATGCGAAAGGACTCGAAAGGTCGCAACTGGAGGTTGCGACTGACCGTTACAACATCACGGATGGTAACCGAAGCGGCAATCGAGTCGCTGTGCGACTCGATAAACCGTTCCTGTAACTGTATTCTACAACTGCTTTCTTATCTACTATATATTGCTGTATGCTTGTTTCTTTAATCAATCACTTGTTCTCACATACTAGTACAAGGGTTCAACTGTCTCAATTTCCGCTGCACTACTCCAAGTCTCAAG